ACCGCCGATCTGTGGGGGGATTTCTGTTGAAGTTATTGCGTCTATAATAGATACAATCGCACCTCAACTATCTATTATTTTTAATAGTAGTATCAAATCTGGTGTGTTTCCTGATTTAATGAAGCATAGTAAAGTAATACCTTTATTTAAATCTGGTAGTACATTGGACCCCGCTAATTTTAGACCTATTTCTGTACTGCCAACACTTTTTTGAAAAAATTATTCTTGATCAATTGTTAATTTTTTTTAATGTAAATAAATTACTTCATAAAAATCAATTTGGTTTCACAAGGGGTCGCTCGACAACTGATGCTGGTGTTGAGCTGATTAAATATATATTTAATGCATGGGAGAATTCACAGGATGCTTTGGGTTTGTTCTGTGACCTATCCAAGGCCTTTGATTGTGTTCACCATGAAACATTAATCAGGAACCTTCAACACTACGGTGTAAGAAATGATGCTCTTAAATTAATTATTTCATATTTAAGTGACAGAACACAAAAAGTTGTTATTAATAGTATGAGTTCTTCCGGGCCGATTGTACAAATGGGCGTGCCTCAGGGCTCAATTCTTGGCCCCTTTCTGTTTCTTGTATATATTAATGTCTTACCTTACATAGTAGGGGATAACCATGATATAGTATTATTTGCTGATGATACTTCATTAATTTTCAAATTAAAAGTAAATAATGCTATAGCTAAGTTATTCAATTGGTTTAATGTTAATAATTTGCATTTGAATGGAACTAAAACTAAATGTATGAAATTCGTAACTCCTAATGTTAAACATGTCAATACTAATGTAATTTTAAATGGGGAGGAACTGAGTCTTGTTGATACCACCATTTTTCTTGGAATCACACTGGACGCAAAGCTTCAATGGCTCCCCCATATATCAAAACTAGCTAGCAGACTTAGTTCTGCAGCATATGCTGTAAAAAAGATTAGAACTCTTACCAGTGTTGAAACAGCTAGAATAGTTTACTTCAGTTATTTCCATAGCATTATGTCGTATGGTATTTTGCTATGGGGACACGCGACTGACACTGAAATTATATTTATTTTACAGAAGAGGGCCATTAGAGCAATATATAATTTAAAACCAAAAGAGTCACTGAGACAAAAATTTAAAGAAATTAATATATTAACTCTGGCCTCTCAATACATTTATGAAAATGTAATATACGTACACAAAAATAAAAGTAGTTTTGCGAAAATAAGTGATATTCATTCTGTAAATACTAGGAACAGACACAAGCTCCAGGTACAAGGTAGTACCAGTTACTCGACTCCACCGAGTCAGTAATTCATTCTTGGGGCGATGTATACGCTTTTACAACAAAATCCCAGAAAATATACAAAATTTGTCATACACAAAGTTCAAAAATGTTATTAAACTAAGTTTGTATAAAAAGGGTTATTATAATATTAAGGAATTTATAGATGATAATAACCCCTGGGAAGGGTGATCGCTACCAAGCTATTTCTAATTTGTCTTGTGTTGTTGATTGTAAACATGATTGTAAGCTATTATTAAAAAAAAATAGTCCCGCTGGGTTTCTTGCTGGTTCTTCCCAGGACAGAGGTTTTTTTTTTGCGAACTAGTGGTAAATTAAAAAAGTGACCTTCAATAAGTGTTTTTATAATCTACATTGAATAAAAAAAGTTTCTATTTCTATTTCTATTTCTATTCCAAGGTGCCCAGGCCAAACAATGTCCGTGACGAAAGATGGCTTATCTTTAGTCTAAAAGAAGTTTATTTATGGTTATAGTTTGTTGATCTACTGGTAGTATTACTTCTTAAATTTTATCATTTATCAGTGTAGTTGCATTCAAACAAAGTAGATTGTTGAACTACTCGGATCGGGGGGGGAGGGTGAGTAGCCATAGCGTTTTTACCCAATACAGAACTGTCTGTAAGTTTTTGCGGTTGGAAAAGAGCGCACACAAAAAACAGTCGTCCGTCACTACGAAACTCACACATAACAATTAAAACAATAAACTCACAATTTCCCACACACACATATTCCGCTCGATGACAGCGCAAACTCTGATACAAACTCGAATCAAGCGCTTGATCGATGTGCATATTGTAAAGGCGAGCGACCCGTGTTGGTGTAGAAATTCGAAACAACACGGCCGTTATTATCGTAATTTTAAAGTTTAAAGAATAGCAACAATGTGATTAAAAATTACTTCTGTGTAAAATATTATTTTGCAGCAAAAAACTGAACAATTCGGCAATTTTGTAGGAAGTTGATTCAAACGTGCAACTAGATTTAGTCCAGTGAGCAGTGCTGATGCAACTGGTTTTAATGTACGTATAAGACCGCGTGGACTTATACTTTACCAAAGGGGAACGCCTGCATATGGCTACTCCGATCCGCCGGTGGGCCGTGTTGCTCTATGATTGTTTGCCATTGCTTCTTCACGACTACGTTCGAACAAATACTGCCTAACCCTTTCATTCATACACCATATTTTTCGAAACTTCTTTTCGATCAAAGTTTATAAAACTTTTTAATTGATGATAATTAAAATTATCAAGAAGCATTAAAAACACATTTAAAGAGTTTGACGAACAACAGACTTCTATAGTAAGATCATCAACAAACTGCCTATAACTACTATGGCAAGAATGTGTTTTACGATATAATTGCCATAGTAATTATTCTCTATATCTAGTACTAGTAGACTTTTAAGTCTCCATTTTCCATTTATTACAGCCCACTGCTGGACAAAGGCCACCCAAGCCAACATTTTGCAAAAGTTGCCACTCGTTGTAGTTTGGTAGGTAATAGTAGTTTTTTTTTTAATAATTTTGAGTTGTTATCAGGTATCTCTCATTTCAGTTTCCCTCTGTCGACTCTTAGGACTCCCACTTGAGACTTACCTGTGCGAAATCTCACTCTCCTCTGTGTGTGTAATAATCTTTAAAAAGGATACACATTTTTCTCTTCATGTATAAATAAATGAGGCGTTCTGAAAAAAAAATAGTGAACTAGAAATAATAATGGCTTGAGCAAATAAAACTCGATTTCGAGATGATTCATTTATTTATTTATTATTATAGAACGAATAAGCTAGGTATATACTTAGTTAAAATATCATCTAACAGAGCTCAAACATCACCTATCATAGTCAATATAGATTTTTAATCGACATTGTGACTTACCAAAGATCTGACGCAAGATAAATGAATTGTGATCTTTCCAAGGATACCTTTATTTTTAACACTACTTGTTGAATAAACCTTTGAATTACTACATACTAAATTGACTTAAACTACTGATGTGGGTAAGAACATCAACTTTAATATAAGTGTATACTTAGTTTAAATTTGGGTGTTAAGATTTGGCGATCGAAAGATACATTTGCAACTTCTGGCAAACACAGGCTCGTATCGCTTTAGATTGCGTTCCAATATTCATACAAAATCTTTAATTCCATTTGAATCCGTACAAATAGTAAATTTTCATAAATTTTATATGTTAATAAGAGAAAGAGACAGAGAGAAAGAGCAAGCTAAAGAACCTCTTTATAAGGAAGGCTCTCGATACCTTTTATATTATTGTTTGTCATTTCATTCCAAATATTTCCTAACAACGATGCGTTTTAAATGACAATGATCCAATATTTATCAATAATTCGTTGTGTCCATAGCCCGCATTTGACAAAAGTTTTTTTTTATCACTCTTACAACACCAAAGATAATTAAGATATTCCAAAGATAGAGTATACGATAGATTTAGTTATATTAGATAAAGAATCTGAATTATCTGTACTAGAGTTAATAATTTTTTATATAGTTAACACACAATCTAATATTTAATCACATAGTTTTGATATGTTTGGGTAATTAAGCACCTTTAATATGCTTTTAATGATATGTCATCTAATATTTCGCTAAAAGGGTCTAAAAACGTCCATAAACGCTACAATACCGATCATATTAAAATAATTGTACTTTATCCAACTACAGATTATAATCTACAATAATTAATACTACCTTAAGATTTTAATGATATGTATCCATGGTCCTACTCTGGATTTTTTCAAAAGCCAGATATAAAGCGCATGCGTTCTTTATACGTTTCTTAATATTAAATCTAACTAGGGACAATTTCCATTTCGGCTTTATATCTCGCTTAGAACGGACACAGTTTCGATGGAGTCGCCTCTGATCGTTTAGGGAGCAAGTTACGGGACAAGTAAGCATTTGTAAGAAAGGGCGACATTCGCAATACAGACACACATATTATCTTTTAAAAAGTTACGATCAGGGTTTGGAAGAGCTAAGTGCTAAAATATTACTTTAATTGTTTAAAATTGTTTTTATCTGATACTTCTTAATACGATGGATATGTTATAAAACAAATAGGCTGAAAAATTTCTTTCTGTGAGCTTTAATCAGTTAAGTGTAAATACAAATATAAATAAATGAAATGATTATAAGCTATAAGTAGGTATACTCGTATGTAAAGAAATTTTCCTTAGCTCTTCACAAATTATAGACGCGAGAATGTGTCCCCGACATAACTTTTTCTCAAGTCAACGGTTTTAGAAATTGTTGACAAAGATTTTAAATAGCGAAGCTTTATAAAAACATACCTAACTTACCTACAGTAATTTGAAAATTAATACCTCTCCCTATATCTATCGCAAAAAAAGTTGCCTGTTGATTCTGTGTTGTAATCATAAATATATTATGTAAAATGAAGAAAGTATTTAAAAGTTTGAATGTTTGTCGAGAGGCCATTGTTATCATAAAAGCGAGTCCACGTGGCCGGTTGTAGAAGTCGCTTTCGATGATGAACGAGAACCTCTCAGTACTAAAATTATCAAACATACTTCAATCGCACCAGGGTTCAGAAAAGAAGAAATAATTTTAATTTCTCTTGAATTTCAAAGAATCGTAAGGAAGGTAGCTGTAGAATGATGAGCTTATGGGAGCATATTGGACGACGTGGTAGTAATCAGAGGCTGACTCCGGCGCTATTCAGTCAAGGAAACCAGTGTTCACCAGTTTCTCCAGGAAGAATTTCACATCTCCCAATTCGGAGTCCTTGATGCCGAGGGACTTGAGCATTCCGAGGTCGCCGTTCTCAACTGCCATGAAGACGGAGCGGAGGTGTTCCAAGTCAGATCTCATTAGATGCAGAGCTGCTCCAAAGTCTTCGATAGTTTGAGATTCTGCAATATATTTTAAATTAAATTAAGATTTCGTTATATTATATAACTTTATTTCTATTAGAAAATCTTAAAACTAAATTTTTGTTGCTATTAAAACGTCTACGTATAGACCCTATATGCCTAATTAGGTCCTCGTTGCTTTTGTCTAACCATTTTTTTACATTTTATCTCCTTCTCCTTCTTCAATAAATTATTTTCTGTTTCAGCAGTACGTTTGTGAAATTCCTTTCCTTTATATAAAACCTACTCAAAGCCTATTATTTGGAGCTCTAATAATTCCTGTCATACTTTCCGTACTTTATTGTATCTACCCTCATCCTTACTATCCTCAACTGTCATCATCTTGTTTTTTTTTCTCTTACTTAAGTTGTCTAATTTGTGCCCCTTCCCTATTGCCTTTCGTTATAAACAACGGTCTTTAGCGCTAAATATTGTTTGGAAGAGCGATACGAATGCGTATTGTATATTTCATTTTGTTTTGGTATTATTGTATTGGTTACAGTAAATAATAAATTGATTGATTGATTAAATTGTCGCCGAAAACTGAGAAAATTTAACAACTGATTTAATAAAGAGATAATCAGAGATGCCAGAAAAATCTTATTCCTTACATAGGTCTCACGGGGCGACTAATTGCAACGCGACGGTATCATGGACAATTTCAATATCTGGTGATTTCTACCCCCGTTTGATTTGCTTTTAATTTAAAAACAATAATTGTCTCTTATTTTAACCATAAAACAACACAGATTAAAAACATGTCTGTAATGTGGCGTCTTAAGCGGACTTCACTGTACACAAGTTTTGCTCGTTTATAACGGTTTTGTGAGAGAACGAGTTCGCCCGCTTTTAAAATTATCTAAAATTATTATGTGCTCAGTGTGTGCGTGTGCGTGCGTGTGCGTGTGTGCGTGTGTGCGTGTGTGTGTGTATGTGTGCGTGCGTGCGTGTGTGCGTGTGTGTGTGTGTGTGTGTGTGTGTGTGCGTGCGTGCGTGCGTGCGTGCGTGCGTGCGTGCGTGCGTGCGTGCGTGCGTGCGTGCGCTCGTGCGTGCGTGCGAGCGTGCGTGCGTGCGTGCGTGCGTGCGTGCGTGCGTGTGTGTGTGTGTGTGTGTGTGTGTGTGCGTGCAAGCGTGCGCGCGTGTGCGCGTGTGCGCGTGTGCGCGTGCGCGTGCGTGTGTGTCTTTTATAAAAGTTTTATATTACAGAATGAGAGATACTTCATTCGTTTTCGTATTCGAATCAATATTAAAATAATGATGCTGGTGACTAAAAATAACAATATGCTGACCGGTGATGGCCAGCACCGTCACAGGTGCGAGACGTCTAGTATAGTTCTTGCAATTCACAAAGTGAGATACGTGTCAAATCACAATGTGACTCCTTCAATCAAGAGTAAAGCCAAGAGTACTCATATATACTTTTATTTCTTTTATTTTTTATAGAATAAGTGTGATAGTTGAGCACAAAGTTCACCCGATGGTAAGTGGAAGCTTTGGCCCATAGACATCTACATTTATTCTCGATTAAGAATCAAAACACCGATACGTTGTCACCCCAGAGTACTAAGATGGAATGCCCCTTTTCCAGTAAAAAAGAGTCTCTGGATCTCTAAACGCACCCATATGAAACACAGCTGTATTAGGCTGCTATTTTACGCTAGTACTCTGTGAGAGCGTGGTCCTTCCCCGATCGAGCCGACCTATTCGTGCTAAAACCATAATATAACTGCAGCGTGGTTTTACCATGTAAGTCCGCGTCCATTTTTACCTTAGTTGTATGGTGCTACAATAAAGAATAAATATACAAAAACACTATTACGAGTCTCACAGAATACCAGCGTAAAATAACAGGTCAATGCTGACATGCTTTGAACGATGAGTGTAAAGAACCCGAGAGCTTTTTTTACAGGAAACAACGCATTCCACCTCAGTCCTGGAGACAACGCATCTGCATTTTGATTCTTAATCGAGGATAAATGTAGATGTTTATAGGCCACAGCATCCACTTACCGTCAGGTAGACTGTGTGCTCTTTTGTCACCCCTATTAAAAAAAATTAATTCGTAGTATATTCGTAAATTACAAGAATTATACTGCAATTGTGATTTTGCCTGCAAAGCGTAACAAAGCGAATCATCTTTACAACAAGGCACGTCCATGTCGAGCAGTGGACCTTTATCGGGCTGATAAAGAAGAAAATGAAGTAAAGTATGTTCAATTCTTATTAAAAGCGCTAACAGGCTGTCTGGAAATTGTAGTAGCAGATATCTCATACTTCTACGCTACTCTTTGTCTCCAGGTTGTATATTTCATAACTAGTATATACTAGATGGTTTATATTCATCAAAAGCAAGTGACGGTAATTGGTTACTGTGGTCCACAGCTGTCTACATCTATCATCGATTAACAATCTAAATGCATGTGCCACCCCTGAGGACTAAAATAGAATGCTTCATTTCTAGTAAAAAGATTCTCTGGACATCTACACTCGCCATACGAAACAGCATTAAGCTGCTATTTTACGATGGTATTCTGCGAGAGTATGGTCTTTCCCTAAAACCATAATATAGCTATAGCTTGGCTCTCCCATGTATGATTTGTACATTTAACATACAATTATACATGTATGTTAAACTTATATAAGTGAACACCCACCAGACAGGGCGATGGCAACCTTTTCAACCCCACCAAGTGGTTCCAGTGCATCACGCGCTTTGCTCCCGAACAGCTTTTCCAGATAATTGGGTCCATGCGAAGCCAACAGCGATTGGAGAAAAGATGCTGTCTCTTCAACTGGCGGTCTTTTGCTGTAAATAAATAACCTCTTATTAACTTTTTGTTATTGTTACTTTATAAATTATTGTTATTACAATGGAATCAGTTTTCTCCGTAAAGGTGTTTTAAAACAAATGTTACAATTTATGCTGCTAAATTTCTTATAGGTGAATGACGAGAAATAGATATTTCTTTTTATTAGAAACGAGGCATTCCTCAGGACTGACGTATTTGTATATTTTTTTTACAGAATACAAGTGATAAACGAGTACATAGTCCAACAGATGGTAAGTGGCTGCTGTGAAACATAGAACATCTGGTTTTTCTTCAATTAAGAATGAAAAAAAAAATCTTTTGATTTTTAATAACGATACAAGTCGATGCAGGTATGTTTAATAAGCCATAGCATCCACAAACCATCAGGGGAGCATAATTTAGACAAGTTAAAATAAAAGTGATAAAATTAAAAATTTTGCTAGAAAAGAATCATCAAAATCGGTTCACCCATAGAAAACTTATGAGCGACTAAAATAAATAACATAAATTTCACAGTGTTTAGATTTTCTAAAGCCCTGACTTCGGATGCTACTACGTGGAAATATTTTGTTATTTTTAGTTCTTTGAAGTCAGCTTTTATTTTATATTAACATTTTGATCCACAAGCGTAATGTAATAAACCAGATCATCGAATAAGTAAAATAAAATACATGCCCAATTTTTTTACGATCAAAGGTGAATTTCATTCCCAAAATTATATAGAACCAACCCTGAAATAAAATCTATTTAATAAGAACAGAAAAATTGAAATCGATTCACAATCGGCGATTACAAGCAATACACGAGTGCAAACATTACGAATGGTAAAATTAAAAAATTTGTACAAACGACACCGATCACTCAAAAACTACTGATAAGATCTTGATCAAATTTGTATGGAATCATACGAGAAGCACCAGCTTTTAAATTAAAAAAAGAGTAATCAAAATCGGTTCACCTAGAAAAAAGTTGTGAGGCAACACACATAAAAAAGTACAGTCGAACTGAGTACATCCTACTCAATTTAACTTCGGTTAAAAAGACAAAAAACAAACAAACTGTCGATTTGAAAGCTTCCATCATCTTTGAAGTAGACGTATGATAAAATATAGAACGGTAACGATAAAGTACACATATTTTTAGTAAAATGTGACAAACACAATTTTGTGTTTGACATTCGATTACGGAGGACGGGAAATTATCATCCTGTCTCGTCCTCTGCGGTAGATAAGTTGATTTTTTACAGTCAGTAACATTAATAGAAAACTGTTTAGGCAAATGTATGGAAATGACATATGTCAATTCTAAGCGAGGTGACAAGAAAAAAAAATATCGTATAGAAGTTTTGTTTGAAATAATAGAACAGAATGTATATGAAATAGGTTTTACAATTAGCGACTCGCCCTAGCTTTACTTCGTTATTTAGATTTATGCTAGTCAAAGACCATTTATATCATAATTTTTAACTTTCCGCTAAGAAAATTGAAAATTTTGAAAAATAGGAAAGTTATTGGTTTCACCCCGATTTTCGAAAATCGTTTCGAAAAAGTTTTCATGAGATCTCGACGTTTTGAGATCCCAGGAAGTTTATTCTGACTAATTTCACGTGGAAGTTCGTACGGATGTATGTATGTATGGGGGTGTGTGTGTAAATATGTAAACCTTTCATAACTTTTGAATCGATTACGATTGAATTTGAAAAAAAAAACGTGTTTTTAACATAACTTCGAGATTTCGCAACATAATTTGGTAAAATTTGGAGCGTTTTGCATTTGAAATTAGCGGGAAGTTCTAGGGAGAGCCTGCAGGGTTAATCAATTTTTTATTTTTAAGTTGTTCGGATAAAATGTAGCCTAGATTACTCCTAGCATTTTTCTCTATCTGTTCTTGAAGTTTCATTACAATTAGGTCAGCCTCAGATGGTCATCTGAAGATTAGCCGGGACAGACAGATTAAAAAAAATGTTATTCATGTTTTTTTATAGGATGAGCGTAACAAACGAGCACACAGTCCACCTGATGGTAAGTGGATGCTGTAGCCCATAGACATCTACATTTATCCTCGATTACGAATCAAAACGCAGATTCGTAGTCACCCGTGTGGACTAAGATTGAATGCCTCGTTTCCAGTAAAAAAGGTTCTCCAGATCATTACACTCACCATATGAAATACAGCAGTATTAGGCTGCTATTTTACGCTGGTAATCTGTGAGAGCGTGGTCCTTCCCCGGTCGAGTCGACCCATTCGTGCTACATTCATAATATAATATAATATCATTAGCCATGGAACAATTTAATAATGCTATAAATTGGATGGAAATTAACAATCTAAAAATAAATGTTGATAAAACTAAAAAAATTAAATTCCAACCATGTACCTCTAGCAATAATAACAATAGTATTATAAAAGAAATACAGCAAGTAAATGCAACCAATTTTTAGGCATAATTTTAGATAAAAATTTCAATTGGAAAGATCATGGTATAAAATTAATAAATAAACTAGACAAATTCGTTTTTGCTTTGCGACGTTTAAGATTTATGGCGTCTCAGAAAATAGCCCTTATTAGCTATCATGGATATGTATCATCCCTCTTACTATATGGGTTGATTGTTTGGGGAAATTCCGTTTATGCGGACAAAGCATTTAAAGTCCAAAAAATGTATAAGAGCGTTATGTGGTGTCGAATTTTATGAAAATTGTACACCATTATTTAGAAAACTAAAAATTCTACCGTCGCCTTGTCTGTACACATTAGAAATAAGTATTTTTGTGAAAAAGCATCCAAACACATTTAAGTCACACAATGAGGTGTTGGGAAAAGAAGATTATAGGTAAATTATATGTACCACAACAAAGGCTTAATATGTATGGCAAAAGTTGTTTTTGTGTGGCAATTAAAATATTTAACAAGCTACCAGAAAATATAAACCTATTAAATAATAATAAATTTAAAAGAACTTTAATTCAATGGCTTCTCGACCGTTGTTTATACTCCGTAAAAGATTTTCTGACATATAAAATTGAGTAGGTATGAAAGTGACACTATATGTATATTGATTCATTTAAGTACTTTTTTAAGTCTATGAATTGTGAATAACTTTGCTTTGAACAAGTTACAATAGAGATGGAAATATTATTTAGTTCAACTAAAAAAACGCCTGTTAGTCATAAAAATTTCAAATGTATGCAATTCGTTTTGGAATAATTGAAGTCTTAGTATTAAGTTAGTCATAAAAATTTCAAATGTATGCAATTCCTATTTGGAATAATTGAAGTCTTAGTATTAAGTTAGTCATAAAAATTTCAAATGTATGCAATTCCTATTTGGAATAATTGAAGTCTTAGTATTAAGTTATATTTCACAATTTATTAATTATGTGCTATAATTATTGTTATTAGATTGACATAATATTGTTATATTGACATCTTATTGCTGATATTGTAAAAAACTAAGAATTGATAATTGATAATGGTACTGTTTCTACGCCGATGCCGGTAAGACATGGAAATGATCCTAAAAGTTATAATGCAACAACTTATTGTACCATGTCTCTGAAATAAATAAATAAATAGCGGCAGCGTGGCTTTACCACATAAATGTATAAGGCAGTTATTTTGATGTTACAAACAAACATTTAAATTTGATTTATATGTAAAATATTGATCGCTACGTATCATTTACGTAATAATTATATTGTGGTCGCTAAGACCAAGAATAAAACGATTGAATAATGGCGTCTTGGCAAACTGAATACAATCCGCGCTGGCTGCAATGAAATTTCGGTGTAAGAATATCCACTACTCCATATCATCTCGTTGGTCGTGTAAGAGCCGACAGAGGGAAACAAATCAGGAGATGGGCAGCAGAGTCTTCCTAATCACGACTAAAAATAAAAAAACTGCGGTTGCCAACCCGCTTGGCATCTTTGGCAAATATTCCCCCTATGAGGCAAACTATGGGGGAGGTCTATCTACAGCAGTGGATTTAAACACACTGTAAAGGTAACAGTAATGGTGATTTTAAATGTTGAATTGCCACGTGATCATGTATCTGTAACAATATAATATTGTTTTTTAACTACTTGAATGATAATAATAATAATGTCCTCCAGACAGAATTTCGGCCACGGCGGCCTGCCTCAACGGAGGCTAGCCATCGGCGCAGGACAGGATTATAGTGCCCAAGTGTATGCGTAAGCACAGGTGCACTCTCTTTTCCCTCACTCTCATAATACGATGGGACGGTAAACCGACACAACCGGAGAGAGATCAGGCGCAGGACCAACGGCTTTACGTGCTTTTCGAGGCACGGGGGTGAGCCACCGCCAACTTCCTAACTCCGGACAGCTACTGAGAATTTCTTGACAGAAAAACTCAATAATTGAATTTTTGGCCCGACCCGGGATTCGAACCCAGGACCTCATGATCAGTAGTCGCATTACTTCAACCACTATTCCAATGAGGCAGTCACTATAATGAATGAAATAAACTATATAAATTATCTTAAAAAAATTCTCTCAAAGATAAAATATCTTTCAGGCTCCTCTGAAACACAGTGACAACACCCGCTACGCAGTCTCTGTTCACATACCAGGAAAAAAAAATATTATCCATATTAAGCCCGCATTCATGCATAGGGAAGTGTTAGATGTAAGCCTATGTTTAATTTTGTTAAGCTTTAAGCCCCTTTTTTTATTGGTTACAACTCCTTTCTTATTTGTGCCATCAAGAAAAACCGGTTTTTATGCGCGTTACAGCTACATTACAGCTATGTTATGGTTATATATCGAATGGATCGGCTTGAACAGTAGGACCACGCTATAACAAAATAACAGAGCAAAATAGCAGCTTGATGTCGGGTTCTATAAAGTGAGTGTAAAAAACCGGATACCCTTTTTACTAGAAATGAGGCATTCCATCTTAGTCCTCAGGTTGAGAGTGAGATGAGTCTATAGGCCACAACATCCACTTAACATCAGGTGGACTGTGTGCTCGTTTGTCACGCTTATTCCATAAAAATCGGCCTTGCCTGCTCCTTCAATGCTGACCGTATGAGGTCGCTCAGCGAGTTATGGAGAAGGTTATGCTCGGGGTTTCTCTGCGTGATAAACTTAGAAATGATAGAATGATATCCGCAGTAGAACTAGACTGACCGACATTCCCCAACAGATTAGTAAGCTGAAGTGGCAATGGGCCGGCCATATAGCTTGAAGAACCGATAACCGATGGGAAAAAAAGGTTCTCGAGTGGCAACCTCATACCGGTAGGCGTAGTGTAGAGCGACCCCCCACTAGATGGAGTGACGACCTGGTAAGACACGCAGGAAGTCGATGGATGGAGGTGACTTGGTACCGTGTTTTGTGGCATTCCTTGGCCGAGGCCTATATTCAGCAGTGGACTTGTGAAGGGCTGTAATGATGATGATGATGATGATTGCTTGCGTTACTGTGTTCGGTCTGAACATAAAAAATTATGGTTATATAGGTCTTTAAGTCTGAGGGATATAGAGAGTCAGTATAATTAAAGGCTTCCATCAGGCGTTCTATCTTGTCGCTTGGTGCTTTTGTAGAATTCTTTGTTTCAATTTGGTTACAGGTGACTAAAGGCACCAGTAGACACTTACTAGCAAATGAACGGTAAATTTGATTGTTACCTTATTTTAGACACTTTAATTTTTAATTATAGTGATTAAAATAGAATTGATTTAATGTGGATCGAATAAAAATAAAATAAATTAATGTTTTTACTGTTTTTTTGGTACAAAAGCACAAACAATGTCCATTAAAGAATTACTGCCCATGCGGAGTCAAGTAACTTGTATTAGTTGGTAGTAGTTTGTGTTAGTGTAGAGTGTGCTAGTATCAAATGCAAGTTATCTTATCTCGGTTTACTTTGGCGAGAACTTTGGCCTGAAACTTCTGCTTCAACTATAAAGGCTTTACAGTTAACATTTATTGGTAACTTCATATAAACTAATACTTTACAAAGTTTATTTCTAGTTAAAACTACAGTAGAATAGAATAGAATATGTTGTTTTATTCAATATAGATTACAACTAATTCTTACTGAAAGTAATTTTTTTCTTTGACCTCTGATTCGGTAAAAACGTCCCAGGAAGTACCAGCAAAAAGCCCAGCTGGACTTTTGTCCATAAGTAACATTATATAATATAAAATTGATTTTAAACATATTTATAACACTCATATAAAAATAAGAATAGAAGGGGAGTTGATCGAGCAAGTAGATGAGTTTGTATATTTAGGCTGCGTATTTAGCAGGGATGGGAGATATGATAAGGATATAGAACGACGAGTGAATGCGGGAAATAGAGTAAATGGAGCCTTGCACTCTATTGTGAAGAGTCAAAATGTGTCGAAAAAGGCACGTATGGCAATTCACAATGCTGTGTTGGTCCCTACTTTAACGTATGGTAGTGAAAGTTGGGTGTGGCAGAAGAAGCACGAGAGTAGAATAAACGCAGTAGAAATGCGGTCGTTAAGAAGTATGTTAGGGCTGAATCTGAATGACAGGTTAAGAAATTGTGTAATAAGAGAAGAGTGTGGTTTGCAAGATGATGTTGTGACCAGGATTAAGAAAGGAATGCTTCGGTGGTTTGGTCATGTGGAAAGAATGAATGAGGAAAGAGTGACAAAGAAAATTTATGGTGCAGAAGTGAATGGCAGAGTCGGAAAGGGACGTCCTAGGCGAAAATTTATCGACCAAATTGGCGATTTATTGAAAACGGGCCAAATTAGGAGTACCCTTAACCGACGAGCATGTATGCGTAGGTGTATGGATGTGAAGGAGGCAAGAGAGGTGTGTCAGGATCGTGCCAAATGGAAGTCTGTAGTCTCTGCCTACCCCTCTGGGTGACAGGCGTGAGTGTTTATGTATTATATATGTATGTCATATAAAAATACCTTGAATTGCTAAGAACTAAGATATAAGATATTAAAATATTGTGTCATGATTTCATCCTAATGACCCTAACCTACTCGGGCCCGATATAATGAACATGACAAGATTGTAGGTGGACTATGATACAGTGTTAGGCACACGCGGACAAAATAGAATATGAAGTGAAAATCGACTTCAAAAAAATTCACACAATTAATTAGTTTCTGAACTGTAGGCTATAATTTTCAAATACACTATATCTGAGTTGAGTTTAAGAGAGTTGAACACACAATTGGACAATATGTCACGTAACATATTATAAAAAATATTGTTAAATTTATAACTTCCTCTTTTTGAAATCGGCTAAAAATAAATGCTTTATAAGCTGTCTGTTTGTATTCACGTACTATATCGCGCGATGCTACGTCGTTAATGGACTATAAAGCTAAAATAACAAAGTGAAAGCTCGCGAAAACTCCGAGGGAAATTACTTCTGGAAGCTTTTTCGCTATGTTCACAGCACTTTATGAGGAAATAATTCAACGCGTTTGAAATGTTAAAAAATTAATTTCCTTATCTGCATAACTTAATGGAAGCAAAAAATTATTTGGTGACAGTAAAAGATTTAATAGGCAGGCTAAGGTGATAGAAATATTATAATCACCTGAAATAATATCAATAAAATAAAAAAAAAATCACCTGAAAGTCCTTCTTGCACTGGCCGTGGAGGTAACACGATTGTTATTGTCGTTCAAGAGCAACTTCGTGATATTTGTTTTTGTCATTTGACATGCGCATCGGTATAGCGCGGTGTTTGACAATTTTTACTCCCCGGCTAATGCAAAGGTGATACAAGTGGTAAAATTAAAGAAAAATTTAGAACAGACTTCAATATAAATAAAATGAGAACAATTTAAATATTGTCAATTAAATGCGTATTATAAAAGATAAATCAAAAACTACTATTCAAGTCTTGGTCAAATTTACACACCACACGAGAAGCAGCATATTTAAAAAAAAAAAAAAAAAAAAGAATCAACAAAGTCGGTTCACCTAGAAAAAAGTTTTAAAGTAACACATTAAAAAACATACAGTCGAATTAAGTACCTCCTTTTTTTGAAGTTAGTTAAATCACATATAATTTGCGAACCAAAATGTATGTAAATTTAATAAAAAACTTTATGGTCGAGTTTTCTGAAGAAAAGTTATTACTACACGTTTGTATAGAATGGTTGTATTGTTATATATAGATGCGATACAATTCCTAATGATTTATGTTGCTTGTAATTACAGTTAGGTATATCTTTAATAAAATTATTATTGTTGTAAACATTGAGTTAAAGAAATATTGTTCGTGATATTTATAATGATTCACATTTTAAGAATGATACACTGATAAAATTATTAGTTACTCTCGTACAATATGTTTTTCATGTAATTTTCAACTGTGGTTTTACTTTAAAATGTAACAAATACGAATTAAATCAGGCTATAATTAAATGAACTACTAACAAAACTTAATGTCAAATTTATCACCTACTTTCATTGAGAGCTTTTAGATTATTATCAATATGTGTGATATGGACTTTAAAGGAACCAATGCTGATGTTTTCCCTCTGTCGCCTCATGGCTGTCGTCCATTGGATGATAAGGTGTGGTAGATGTTCTTAAAATACCACTACACCCTATACCTCTATATTGGGATAGAATTAGCTAGAAAATGTTCAATAAACGCATATGAATGAATTTGTTTTTAACCTTTGTTATCATAACGCTTTTGGTGCGTGCCTTAAGGTATAGAAATAGACGAGTATTGAGCCCAGAAACGGGTCGATAGCTTCTAGCAGTTTAATAACGATGTTGATGGACGACCGGATGTGAAGACATTTTCCGTTTAATGTATAAAATGGTTTACTTTGTAGTGACAGTGTAAGAATATCTGCTCCCCTATATCATTCCGTAAGTTTCATAAGAGGCGACAGAGGGAAACAAATCAGGAAACTGTCAGCAGTATCTCCCTAAATACGACAGAAAATACTGCGGTTACCAACCCGCTTACTAAGCGTGGCAACTGTGGTAAATATCCCCCTATGAGGCAATCTATGGGGGAGCCATATAATCAGGAGTAGGTTTTAACTGTAACAGTAATGGTAACGGTATTAATTGGCTCTTTTATCGATTTAAGTTAACGTGCTTGACATTCTCTATAACATTGTTTCCTAACTTGACGCAGTTTTATCAAGCTTATGGCGGTATAAAATTTTGATCTAAACATGACTTATGAAAAAAAAATCGTTTAATATACTTTGGTTGACGTTACGCACAACGTAAATAATGAAAATGTCCGAAAACTTTATTATCGTTCGAGTTTACTTGAGCTTATATTTGTTACATATTTCACTATAGTGTATTGGCCTATGTACCCACTATGACTTTACTGTAGTGTATGTATTGTGTAAGATTGTGAGTATCTGTAGTAGTGGATTAGCGATATACGTGTGAACAGATCAAGGTCTTTTATACAAATCAAGCACACATAGCCGTGATTTGGTCACCGACGATGAACTTGCTTATTTTTTTACATAATATGGGTGACAAGCGAACACGCAGTCTACATGATGGTAAGTGGATACTGTAGCCCATAGACATTTACATCTATCCTAGATTAATAATCAAAATTCAGATGCGTGGTCGTCCCTGAGGAACGATAAAATGCCTCACTTCCAGTAAAAAGGGTATCCGGATCTCTAAACTCATCATTCGAAACACAGCAGCATTAAACTGCTATTTCACGCGGGTATTCTATGAGAGGGTGGTCTTTCCCAGGTCGATCTGACCCATTTGTTACAATCACAATATAGCTGTAGCATGGCTCTGCCACGTTCGAGTGTGCTGTAGGTGTGGCACGGCAGAGGTTTTGGTAAATCTGATCAGGTCAGATAAGGTAATCTAAGAGGAACCATGGCTGGTCGACGCAAAGGTGAAGCACCATGGTCGTTATAGTCAGTGTGAGTCAGATGTCTTTGCACCCGCTAGATGCGTATGCAGGCATTTCCCCATATAAAAATAGGAGTAGTTCATAACAGTAGTCGAAGGGCTGATTCGTACCCAAGACTTTTATGTAAGACTCAATTCGTATCCATAACCGTTAGACTACTGTCGTTTTTAACTAAAAGTAAACTTTGTAAGGCATTAGTTTGTAAAGTTACCGATAAGTTTTAACTGTAAAGCCTCTACAAAGTGGTCAAAGTTTTGGCACAAATTTGTCGGCAAAGTTAGCAGAGACGAGATAACTTGTGTTTGATGTTGGCCCATTATATATTCAAACTAAGTACTAACTAATACTTGACTTCACAGGGCTAGGCTTAGGCTTTTAGTACAAAGTAACAGTAAATATGTGAGATCTGTGTATGAAAAAGTTGGATTTTTTAAAGAGTTTAAACTATGATAAAATTAAAAAAATCATGGTTTTTTTATAATCCCTGAGAATAAGTCACTCGCTATGGTGGAAAAAAAATAATTCTTTTAAATCGCCCAAATGTAACCGAATCCATTGTAGTGTGTATACCACTAAAAGAGGAAGACACTAGCTTCTAAGATAATACTATTTTAAAGCTAGTTTGGAAGCTAGAGTTCAATTTATTTTCAACACTTTCACCGTCCGTTTTTCAGACGCAATAGTAAGACAATAGTGTTATGAGCTTGAGGTTTTGACAATAAAAACTGCCGATTGAATTACCAAAATTTACACTTTTATTACCGAACACCAATTAAAGCTTAAAAGACACTAATAATTAAACACACTGATTCACTTTATTTCGCTCCGAAGCTTCGCTTGTCTCGCCAAATTCAATACTGCCCCGATCGCGTATTGCAGAGCCTTTAAATACACCTTTTTCACCGAAACATCCAGAATATTCAAGTAAATATGTGCGCCAACCGACCAGGCGCCGAAAGTTCGAGTGTAGGGCTTCTAGAAAGCTTAGTTCTTCAATTCAATACTAGATGGCGCTGTTGGTTGAAAGATTAGTCATGTCATTTTCTGGAAAGCTCTCCTCGCTCTGTTACCCCACACTAGATGGCGCTAGTGCCAGACGTCAACTTAGGCGCGCAACACTACCCCCTCCTAAGACATGCTCGTTCCGAACATTATCGGCCCCATAATAATGCACCAGGCGATTCACATGGAGGATCTTAGGAGTCCCTCTTGCGCCTCTCTGTATCCGGTAGCTTACATCGTTGATCCCGGTCACAATCCGGTACGGGCAGTCCCATTTAGCTTGAAGCTTCGGAGATTTCCCTTTGCTGCGGACTGGATTGTGCAACCACACTAGTGATCCTTCGTCGAACCCTTTGTTGTTGATTTTGCGGTCGTACCGGGTTTTCATCTTTTCGGACATTTGCTGGCCAGATTGTCTGACGTGCTCATAAATGTCATTCATTTTGTTCCGCAAGTCATTTGCATAATTGGTTATACTGCGTGGGGCATCAGGTGGTATCCCTGTGATCAGGTCTACAGGCAGCCGTAATTCTCTTTCAAAATTTGCGAAAACCGGTGTCACTGATGTACTTTCGTGAACAGCGCTTCGATATGACAACAAAAACGGTTGTATGTGCTTGTCACAATCTCGTTTTGATTGTCTACAACTTTTGCTAGGTACCTCTCCAATGTCTGATTAAATCGTTCTGCTATTCCATCAGATTGCGAGTGATAAGAAGTCATTCTTGTTTTATGAGTACCCATAACTCGGCAAGTTTCCTGGAATATTTGAGACTCAAAATTCCTTCCTTGATCGCTGTGAATCTTTAAAGGTACTCCAAAACGACAGAAGACTTCATGAAGTAGTTTATCTGCAACTGTTGAAGCTTCTTAATTTGGAATGGCGAAGACTGGAAAGCTCTCCTCGCTCTGTTACCCGACACTAGATAGCGCTAGTGCTAGACGTCAACTTAGGCGCGCAACAATAGCAAATAACTATGTTATGTAGTACTATTAATGTACTAATGGATTAATTTGTGGCAAATGAATATCTTATTTCTTATGTTATTAAATTAGTAAATTCTATTATATTTTATTCTCTATTCTCATGTGGTTTGGATTCATACTTATATAAATTTTTTTGAATACCAGCGTAAAATAGCAGCTTAACCCTGTTGTGTTTCGCATGATGAGTGTAGGGAACCCGAGACACTCTTTATTGAAAAGGAGGCATTCCACCTTAGTCCTAACGGTGACAACGCATTTGCATCTTGATTTGTAATTGAGGATAGATGTCTATGTATCACAGCAACCACTTACCATCAGGTGGACTGTGTGCTCATTTCTCACCATTCTCCCATAAAAAATTATAAATATACTATAATATAGGCATAAATAATATTATGTAATATTATTAGTATATATGTTTATATAATATTATAAGAAAGTTTCACTGGGTTTTCGCTGGTTCCTCCGAGGACAGATGTAATATATGAACTCATTATAAGTTAAAAAGGACTTTCAATAAGTATAACGTATTTATTTTTTATTCAATTCATTTTAAACATGTAAAATTTAACAGCTGGGCGTGAGCCTACTTTATAAGAGATAAATTGCCTTATAGGAGGCAGTTTGACGATCGCATCAAATATTTTTTATCCTTATCCCCGGCTTTGTCAGGGGGAAAGACCATTTATGTTATCAAATTTTCCATTTTATGAAAAAAGGTTCTCGAAGATTTTTCTATAAAATATAGCTTAAATCACTCCTGGTATTGGTTTCCTGTTCGTTTAGTTCCATTACAAT